TAGTGTTGTTAGTCGAAATTGTTTTAAGCTATGTAGAAATATTTCGACTTTCGACATTTAGCATGTCAAAATTCTAAATTAATGACATAATTCTAAATAGTGTCGAAATGTCTAAATAGTGCCAAAATGTCTAAATAGTGCTGAAATGTCTAAATAGTGCTGAAATGTTTAAATAGTGCCGAAATGTCTAAATAGTGTCAAAATGTTTAAATTATTTTTACATAAAACATTTTAAAATTATTATATTCACGATAAATAAGATTATTTTAAATATAATACATTTGTAATAACTAATCCCAAATAATAGTTAATACTCTAGAAACGAAGTTGGCAAAGAGTATACAAGATTTAATCAACTTATTAGTAATTGCTTAGATTCTATATTTTATTAACAAGTAATCGCTTTGTAAATTCTACACGTATATTTTATTAACAAGTAATCGCTTTGTAAATTCTATATTTTATTAACAATTACTTACCAACAAGTTTATTTCACCAATAGTTTATTTTACCGAAACTCATTTTATAAACAAAGAATTAGAGTCAAAGTTAGTATAATTTATAAAAAAAACTTGCTGATAAAATGAGTTTCGGTGAAATAGACTATCCTTAAAATAAACTTGTTAGTGTATAATTGTTGATAAAACGTAATTTCTATTAAATAATTGGTAATATAAAAATAATAATATAAACTTAAGTACTAAAATCTTTATTTTAAAAAATAAATATTGTATGCTAACAATAATCTAAAAAAATTATTGTGTACTATATATTAACCCTTCAACCTCCGCACCAAATTGGTCTTCATCAAAGTCTTCAATATCGAATTCTTCATTATCTATATTCATATTATTATTCATATTCATATTGATATTCTCATCTATATTCTCACTATTAACATCTTGTTCTATGTTATTTAAATCTATAAAATTTTCAAGTTCTAAGTCTTGATGTTCAATTTCCGGATCAATATAATCAGTTGAATTATCAAAATCATCAAAATCATCTTCGTCATTAACCTCAGAGAACAATTCAATATCTTGAAAAACAGTTTGTATTTCTTCTTCTGTTAAATCTAATCCATAATAATGTAGTTCTTGTTTAGTATTTGATATTAAATAAGAACTTATTTTTACCATTGATTCAAGATTTTTTGTTCTTAAATTAATACGCCGATCTCCTAAATACCATCCACAACGTGACCATACACGCTCACAACTTGCAGCATGAGGACGTACTGAAAACAATTTAATTGCTAAAGAAGAAAGAGCACCAGGCTTTGTTTTAGTACCATCTCCAGTAGTCTTCCACCATCGAATTGGACTATCAATAGTTGATTCATAAGACCCATTATAAGGCTCTTCATTACAAGTATACTGACGTAATTGTGCTTTTAAAATTTCCAGATCACTTTTTTTTGCACTAGAACTTGCCATTTTAGTCCATAAACGGCCTGCAATTCCAGCTATACGAGCAAATTGTGATTGCTTAATTCCAGCACCTACAATTTTTTTCAAAAAAAATTAATTTTTAAAGTAAGTAAATTAAATAAATATTAAATTAAATACATACCACGATACTGAGGATGCAAATAATATGCTAATAAATATTCGTCATAATCAAACATATAAA